TACGGTTCTATACCACCTTAAAGGATATTTTGATGTCCAAAGAATAGAAGAAGAGTAAAGAGGACAGACACAAGTTATTATGTTTAAACAATGTATTAATTTCTTTATGATTAATGTGTAAACATAATCATCACAATACAAATCAAACAAAATAGCATAGGCCCACGTAAATGGTAAACAATTATCACATAAGAATGACAATAATTTTAATACTGAGAAGTTGTAATATAGTGATGAAACAAGTCCCATAGTTTTAGAGAATAAGTCCACCTTATAAACAGGAGGTCCAGCGATCACTTCAGCAGACGATCCGTGGACATTATGCAACATTTGCCGGGATCGTAGCTATATTTTCATATGCCATGAACGTATAATGTAAAATGAGGAGTTATTGTGTTANAACAAGTTATCAGATGAAGTTAAATGTTGCTGTAAATTTTTATGCAGTTGCAGGTGATTGTGTATGTGTGTGGTTATAAAGTTATGTCAAACTCCGAAGCAAATCACACCACATCTTCTTCTCATCTGATAAGATTCAGTCAAACTGCTTGCTCTTGGAATGGTGTGGTTGTAATCTTGTTGGCTATAATTCTTTAAACTGTCGACTAAGCATCGCGATGTGCACTTGCCTTTTCCTCTGTTCCTCTTCCGTTACTGTGTCAAATACATTCATTGAACTCGCGAGCGGACCTCTAACCACGCCCACATAATAACATAACAGGTAAAGAATAAATGTACAGTTCGAAAACAGAATAATTAAACAATCTTTTGTAAAGAATTATAGTGATATGCAAAAACATATGCCTGAGTGCACTTACAAAACAATTAAAAATCTTATATTCTTGAAGGAGCCGTCTTTGCTTTTTTTATGAACAACATCCTCCAACTTGTGCAGTAAACTCATTGTGAGAGATTGCGCGTGTCTGGCCACGATGAAAGATTTTTATATCCAAATTTGTGCCAGTTTGTCAAGATACACATTTTTAAAACACCTTATTATTTTTTAGAACGTAGATGACGTTTGCATAAGCAATGACTGATCCTATCACCTGATCCACCCGATTAAATAAAAATGTAGACTTTAGCGCTTAAAAAATACTCCCATATAAGCTATGTAACTCTTGCGAATTCACGGAGTAAACTGCTGAGCTCTACAGTAAATATATTATTAATGTAGCGTAAGTAATAAATTTTAAAGTGTTGTTTTGAAATATATTTCTTTGTTATTGAAAAAAGCCAGAGAGAGAATGATGATGATGGTAAAAAGAGAGAATGGTAAAAAAAATACATTTTGACTATTTAATTTTGTAATATCCAAATAAAACACAAAGGCAGTGTTCGGAAACAGCCATATGGCCAATTAAAGTATTTCATTAATATTCGGCTGAATTTAAGCTTTCATCCTTACATGTACGCATATCCATCTATCCATCTCTCGCTTTCTCTCTTTTTTTCCCTCTCTAGGCTATATAGCCTATGCACACACACACACACACACACACACACACACACACACACACACACACACACACACACACACACACACACACACACACACACACACACACACACACACACACATAAAGAAAGAGAGAGAGAGAGAGAGAGAGAGAGGCAAAGACTATAAAGGGACTTTGATATATGTATTTGATATATATATATATATATATATATATATATATATATATATATATATATATATATATATATATATATATATATATATATATATATATATATATATCTCTCTCTCTCTCTCTCTCTCTCTCTCTCTCTCTCTGTGTGTGTGTGTGTGTGTGTGTGTGTGTGTGTGTGTGTGTGTGTGTGTGTGTGAGAAAGTGTGTGTGTTAGACACAGAGACAGGAGCATAGATACAAAAAGTGTGGCAGAGACGTATATATAGAGAGAGAGAAATAGAGAGCAGATGAGATATAATTTATGCATATGCAATGAATGTATCAGGCATAGGCCTATGTTCTAGTATGTGGTTCAAATGATACGTAAATTTGGTGTATTATGTATAAACAGTTATTTTAAACGAAAAAAATAAAGATTATAGTTCTCTTTGGCTGTTGGATCCGACTCTTGCATCGTTCATTTATGGGACCTAATATCTGCTCTGTGGACTTTTGAAGTAATATAATGTTTAAGAAATAATATAGGCTATAGATAAATTAATGTAAACACAGTTTATTACAAAGTTTTTGTAGCATAATATACAACAGCCCAGACAATGCAAATAAATACATAAATAATAAATAATAAAAAAGTAAAAATCACAAAATACTGACAACTGTTAAAACAGATATTTTGTACTCGACATTAATCCAGCGAAAGTCTCGAAAGGAAGGCTTATTATTATTATTAGTATTATTATTATCATTATTATTATTATTATTACTATTATATAGGCCTAGCTTGGAAACAATCGTGCAAACCAAGTGCTGCTCTCAAATCTTTTGCTCAGTATCAGGTGCATAGCAGCAAATTTGGCGGCAAACTATAACAGTAATGATAAATTGTAATGATAAATGTCTAATAATACTGCTAATATATTATATATTAAATATAATATATTAAATGCCTGGGTGCTGATCCGCAGAGGACGAAGACTACAGGACTGTTATTTTGAAGGCGACGTCAGGAGCCCAGATTTAATTGACCAATCAGAGGAAATGGGCGTTTCAGAACCGCCTACATGTGGATAATGAATTTTAAAGTCATTTATCCGTTTTCCTACCCTAAACCAAAAAAAGAAAATCGAGCCAAAATCAGTTATTTTATTTTTTTGTAGCCAAATAAAAAAACGAAAAACGGCCGTTTCCTCGTTTTTTAAATTTCGTTTAAGATCAAAAATCGAATGAACGCAACGTACACGGACCCTCTAACGTCAGCTGGTAAAGCTGGGGTCCGTTTTTCGTACCTCGCTTAAATGATCTAAGATGATTTGGCAGATCCTGGATCTTTTAATCTTGATAACTGATCTCTCGCTAATTTGGTTCTTCAAACAAGTTCGTGAATCAGATTAGAATGTCTGGATAAACTGATCTAAGATCGCTGCGTGTGTTGTGAAGGACAGATCTATTGATCCTCGAAATCATGATCAGCAATGCAACGATTGGCTGACGGCACAGCAGCGTAATGACATCATCTGATTAATATTCAATTATCCATGTGAGCAAAATTACATCAAATTAGCAGAAACGGCTTGTTAAATATGACACGCAATAACCTTCAGCATTTGTTGTGAGCTGCAGGCTTTACACTTTCATGTGTCAAGAGTATTCATCATGCATTTCAATGCAAATCAATGTATTTAGTTCTACATTTAGAAAAGATTTTCAATATTGTAGTAGCTGTTTTTTAATCGGTTTAAAGAATAACTGGTTGTTTACAAAAGCATTTTGATATTGGTAATTAAAGGCGTCTGCAACTATTGTGAAGCATCAAATCACTGGCATATAAACTATCAAAACATGTTTATATCTGCATTAATGTATTATTGCTTTAAAAAAGTCACATATTCTGCATTTCTATTATACACAATTTGTACTAAAGCGTTCATATCAATAAGTTTTCTCTTTGCACCAGCAGGTGGCAGTCTTTGTACTTTCATTTCGATGGTGCAGATTGCATAAGTTTTATTAATATGTATAACTTTTTTTATTTTATTAATGACTATAACTTTATATATATAGTTAAAAAATATGTACCATTTTCCCAAGTGTATATAACTACTGTAAGAAAATATCAGAATTCGGAACACTTTCTGTATTATCTTTGCTTGAACTGAGCCGATCTAATCCTGTTTATATGAATTGAACCTGCTCCCGATCAGGTTTGACCTAGCAGAACTGTTGCTATGACAACAACTCTCGGATCAGCTTTGAAGAACGAAACGATCCTGGATCGTGTCAAATCGTCAATATCCAAATCCAGCTAACTGAGTAATCCACGTACAAAGAACGGACCCCAGGTTTCAGATTTCCCCTAAATAACATTAAACTCACTCAGAATAACTGCGGCAGACAGAGTCCAGACCAGCATCGATGAGCCCATCACCTGCCAAAATTACAGATAACAGATTAAGTTAGAAAAGCTGCCTTCTAATTAACTCGCTAACTAAAAACACACGGTCAAATAATAGCCTACTGACTGCTACTTCGATAACTTAGGATACAATAATGGCCATATTGTTCAAATAAACCATTTTACCTCGAGTCCTGAAGTTTTTTCTTCTTCTTCTTTTTCGTTTAATGGCGGGTGGCAAACCAGCTTGAGGTGCATTACCGCCACCTACTGTGTTGGAGTGTGAGACTTCAATGAGTGGAAGGCTTACTACTTATTCTCTAAAAAAAAAAATAAATAAATAAAATAAAATAAAAAATTTAAATAAATAAAAATAAAATAAAAAACACCTTTTTTAAATCCTTTCATAGTAAATTAATAATAATAAACAATATTCATAATAAAAATCTAAATAAAACTAACTAAATAACCAAAATATAATTCTTTCCGATTAAATCCTGTAAAACAACCCTGTACTCCTCAAGAATTTTAGCAGATAATCATATACCTTAGTTTCTTTCTGAGCATTTTTAAAAATGTTAGTGATTGTAATGTCTGTCATGTCCAAATCTCTTAGTTTTATTTTAAACTGGTCCCTCTCTCTTCTATATTTTGTGCACTTGATTAATACATGTTCTATGGTTTCGATCTGTCCACAATGTCTGCAGCATTCTGTTTCCCTTTTCCCTATCTTGAATAGTGAACTGTTTAAATTGGAATGACCTATACGAAGTCTGGATATGACTGTGTCTTCCTTCCTGTTCCCATATACTTTCCTTTCTTTCCCCACTTTATTTTGTATATTATACAGATGTCTTCCTTTTGATTCTGAATCCCAGTCCTCTTGCCAAAGATTATTTACTGATTTATTTATAATATATTTTATTCCTGAAGTTTTAAACTCACTGTTTACCGACTTTCGCGGTCTTTGTCAGGTGACGTCACTGTCGTAAACACCGAATTGCATTATGGGACATAGCCGCCATTTGTGTTGTATCCGAGTTAACGTGAGCTGTTATGTGGCTTTAGCGTCTTTCGCAGAGTAAGTACAGTGTTACGTTCTTGTTGTGTTAAGGGCTGTAACAGTAAATCACACGATCGAAAAGGTAATAAATGATCACGACGACAGATATTTTAAATTTCCCGCTCGGAAGAAAGGATATTGACGGACTGTAGCAGTAACAACAGACGCATCGGGTGTCCTGGCCAGCTGCATTGAGACCCAAAATATATCTTCATTTCTCCGTTTATGCTCTTAACATTATCACAAAGGTAAGTACGAAAAAAAAATTAAGTAACTTTACAACTGTCATTGCTTGAGCTTCAAATAATTTTATTAATTCAATGTAACACTTTAGTTGTGGGGGTAGAACTGCATTTAAATATTTACGAATCAACTTAGTTCGTATGGATTTAAGATAGTAAAGTATTTGATTGGAAATATATTGTAAAATACTTTTTTACAACTTAGATTTGCTGATGTACTCACTCCCTGACAAAAAGTACATTTTCGACTGTTCTTTTTCTGAAAACAAATATAGCTTTTTGTTGAAATCATTCCCTTAAATGTTTTAAATCTGCAGACTGTAACTTCATGAAACTGCAGTTAAAAAACCCAGTTCTTTTCCACTGTAGAAAAATATAAATATATTGGATGACAAAGTTAATGCTTAAAAGTTCAAAATTCAATTCAGGTTTCTTATACTCCAATATGTCATATTTTTCATAAGCATGTAGCATTATAGTACATTTATTTTTTACTTATTATTTCTGTGTTATATTTTTGCTGTATATATATTTCTAACTTTGTCATCGCCAGCCAAGCTGCATATGAGATGATGGAGACTGACCCAGACTGAGCAGCATCTCTACATCTGGGCCACACAGAAACTACACAGACAGACACTGCACACTCTGCAAGACAAACTTAGAGGAGGGAAAGAAAACCAACACTGCAGTCAGCTGAAGATGTGGACGACCAACATGCTGAGGAGGGAGACACTTGAGGTTGAAGATGGTGAGAGATACTGATGAGAAGACACACAACACTAAGGAGGTAGCTGAGACGAACTGAATGTAAACTGTGTATGGACGCGTGTAGAAATAAACCACCTGTTGGAGGAAACCTGACAGCTGCTGTGTGAACTTGAAGGATACTGGATGTCTGATGGATTTTGTAACAAGAATGATGCTAAAGTACCAAACAGTAAAAAAAAACACACAAAATCTTAATAACAAGCACTGAGCCATAAACATGATACTCCCTTGTGAAGGTGAAGGTGAAGATGTCACATTACAGCACAGGATTGTAACTGTCAAACAAAGCAACGTTCACTTGTAGTGTAGAAGAGCTGTAGATGTCAATAAGAGTTAAAAGCCCAGGTGGATAAATGTTTTTTGTGCATAATTGATACATTATTTAAAAAAATTCCTTTACGTTTTTGTAATTATGTTTTCTTTCACTGTATGTATGACTGTTTTGCCGATGTTTCATCCTGTCTTATGTAAACAGTATGGGGCATTCCTCTAGAAATGACTTTTCCCTCAGTGCCTGAATAAAAATATCAATTGTATAAATGTAAATAAATGGTGGATGACTTAAAATGTGTTGTTTACTCATTTATTGTTTATGTTCTTCACAATCACAAAACTGGTACATCAGAACCAAACACAAGGTAAGCAGTTATTACTTCAACTAAATAATCCTTTAAAGAACTGAGACAAGTGCTTTTGCTTAAAGTTAAACAGTAAGTCAATCAGTAGTTTGAACTAAATAGTTCACCCACATATTTAAAGTGACTTACTATTTACCTGCCATCAAGTGGTTCTAAACCTTTGAGTTTATTTTTTCTCTTTACACTAATAAAGATATCATAAAGAAAGCTGAAAATCTGTAATTGAAATTGTAGAAAAACCAACAAATACAATGGAAGTCAGTAGTTACAGGTTTTCAGCTTTTATCATAATATCTGTATTTGTGTTCAACATATCTTAATATTTGGGTGTATTATTTTATCTAATGTTTATTTTATTTAATCTTGTTATCTATGCACTCATTGTATTTGACTAAATAAAATTAATAATAATATTTACATTTTTTGTTCTGTTGCTTTCATTACATTTATGGTTCATATTTGTAAAATACTTTGGATACAAACATCTATCCAATAGTTTGTAAATGTAAGTATTAGATGTACCTATTGAAATAAAACAAAAAAAATGCAATACATAATTACAAATACTTACTGTGGTTTAATGATGTTCAAACTAAAACAATGTATATTAAGACATTGATGATATACAGCATGACATGTCATTATTATCAGCAATGAGGGGTCGGCGGCAGCGCACTCCGTTGGTTTGCAGTTAATTCAAACGGATCTATAACCTGTATGTAAGTCAGTTTATCAAAATGACGATCCCTGGCATGTTTGTTTAGTTTATTGCGGTGCCGCGTGCTCTCGATTTTCTTGTATTTCTCCAGATTGACCTTGTTATGGCATGTATCTCTCTGGCGTTATGTGTCTGTCAAGTTGTCAAGCGAAGCGATACCACAAAAATGGCGCCGGTGTGACGTCACGCACAACAAACGCACGTGACTGACAAAGACCTGTGTTTATTTCTCTCCACACCAAGAGCTTCACCAGGGGTCCGTTCTTCGTACCTCGCTTAAATGATCTAAGATTATTTGGCAGATCCTGGATCTTTTAATCTTGATAACCGATCTCTCGCTAATTTGGTTCTTCAAACAAGTTTGCGAATCAGATTAGAATGTCTGGATAAACTGATCTGAGATCGCTGCGTGTGTTGTGAAGGACAGATCTATCGATCCTCGAAATCATGATCAGCAATGCAACGATTGGCTGACGGCACAGCAGCGTAATGACATCATCTGATTAATATTCAATTATCCATGTGAGCAAAATTACATCAAATTAGCAGTAAACGGTGCGTTAAATATGACACGCAAGAACTTTACACATTTGTTATGAGCTGCAGGCTTTACACTTTTATTTGTCAAGACAAGAGTTTTCATGTATTTCAATGCAAATCAATGTATTTAGTTCTACGTTTAGAAAAGATTTTCGTTATAATAGTAGCCGTTTTTTAATCGGTGTAAAGAATAACTGGTTGTTTACAAAAGCATTTTCATATTGGTAAAGGTGTCTGCAACTTTTGTGAAGCATCAAATCACCGGCATATTAACTATCAAACATGTTTATGACTGCATAAATGTATTATTGCTTAAAAAAATCACATATTGTGCATTTCTATTATACACAATTTGTTCTAAAGCGATCTAATAAGTTCATTTCAATAAGTTTTCTCTTTGCACCAGATGGCAGTCTTTGTACTTTCATTTCGAGGGTGCAGATTGCATACGTTTTATTAATATGTATAACTTTGTTTATTTTATTAATGACTATAACTTTATATATATATTTAAAAATTATGTATTATTTTCCCAAGTGTATATAACTACTACTGTAAGAAAATATCAGAAATTGGTACTTTCTGTATTATCTTTGCTTGAACTGAGCCGATCTAATCCTGTTTATATGAATTAAACCTGCTCCCGATCAGGTTTGACCTAGCAGAACTGTTGCCATGACAACAACTCTCGGATCAGCTTTGAAGAACGAAACGATCCTGGATCGTGTCAAATCGTCAATATCCAAATCCAGCTAACTGAGTAATCCACGTACGAAGAACGGACCCCAGAGGTGAAGACAATGCTTGTCAAAGCACAATATCGAAACCAAAAGAAGTTCATAAAAATCCCAGAGGCTTGCTTTGATTTATTTTTAGCAGAGGGTGAGTGATATTATATATATTAAAAATAATATATATTTATTAAAAAAAAATCTCTATCATAGGTATCATTAAACGTGAATAAAGAATTTAACAATAATATTTATTTTCCCTCCTTTGCAGTGAAAGAGAAGTTTTCATTACCACAGGATCTTGTAATTACAGTTACAGATGAAACTGGTACAGAGGTGGACGAAGATGTGTTTCCTGATCTAATGAGCACCAGTGGACTGCTTCTTGTTATAAATGCTTTAAATGACAGTGGTGAGTGATAACAGTGGAGCTATTGAATGATGTAAGATGTATCTAAGTGAATGCTGCCAATTTTCAGTACTTTACCATATTTTTAATGTCGGCAGTGTTGATGTGGGTAGAAATACAGTCCCATAATGTAAACTGGTATTGAGTGTTGTTGTTTTTTTTTACAAGTACTTAGACCTGTCTTTTTATTTTGATCCAGTATTAAAAAACCTGTTGCCTGTTAACCCCAGTTTTAACATTAACAGGACCCTCCACACCTCAATCTTCAGCCAGCTTTGATACAGATACACTCTCTTTAACTTCAAAAAGCAGTGAGGACAGTGACTGGTTTAGTCCAAAACGCTTTAGAAAGGATGAGGATGAGGCTTCACAAAACTCACAGGCCAGAGATGTGAGTGCAAGTACACAATTTGGGGGGTTTACTTGCAGTATCATAACCATAAGCTTTACATAATCAGTTCCATTAATTTATGTATTATGTGTATAGTACTGACCTTTTCCAGATCAGGATTGAATTTAAATGGCATTTTCAATATTCCTGCATTTCTACCTTTATAATAGGATGTTAATGCTAATTTCTTTTTATAGTTGATCAAACAAATTCTAGAGACAAGACCAGGTGGAGCAAATGTGCTGAGGGAGTATGAAGATACGGGGACAATTACTGATGAGACAAGAAAAGTTATGGTGAAAATTCTAGTAGCCCACATGATGGAGACAGAAGGATAATTATGAAAAACAATGTTGTTGTTTTTTATGGTTATAGCAGTATACAGTAGTCAACATTTGAAATTAATCAAAATCTTTTATCAAAGTATTAAATCTATTGTACTACACCCATTCTTGTCAAAGGACAATTTTGAAAAACATTTTTTGATACACATCAAATGTTGACTACTATATAGATTATAAATTGTATAGTGTGAAGTTGAGTGCTAGAAATGTAGTAGTGCTAATCTTTTAAACATTTAATTGAACAAATTTTAATAACATTTGTTAATTCTCATCAATGTTAAGTAACATTGAGTACTCCTGTTCTTTAGGAGAGTTCCACACCGCCTTACCAAACAGAAGTATGGTTTGGGAATTATCACCTTGTTTCCCTCACTCAGAGATCCCCAAGGGAGGACTGGATATGTAAGTTCTTGTCTGTCATCAGAAAATCATTATATATATATTAATGGAGTGTTAAATGTTGAATCTGAATTTGTGTCATTTTGAATTTATTAATTTTTGAATTTATTAATGTCAGGAACATTTTTATGAGGGCCAGAAAAACTCTGGATTCTTGTCGTGGCGACTCAAAACCGTACAAAGGGGGACAAAACCTTCTGGAAATAAAGATGATCCTAAAACAGAGGAAAAGGGGGGTCCTTTGCTTCACCGACAGCTGTGTCACCCTGAAGATCAGCTGGACAGTGATCAGTCTAGAGTCTAGAGGCCATCTCTCTGATGAATCATACAAGCGACCGTGAGGTCATCATGCAGAAGATGAGGGCAACATTTAAATACAGACAACGTCTTGTGCGTGATCCAGAGAAATCCACCACTATTCTCTCTGTTTTTCCTCGATTTCTGGATACGAAAGGATTGGTATGAATTGTCTTTTTAAATATATTTTATTTATTAATATAAAAAAATTTAATTGAAATGTTAGTTTCACAGATGTGGTGAAATAGTGAACATCACATTTAGCTTGTAATATTTTATAGTAATGAAATGTTTTCTACTGATTTCTCAGATTCTCCAGGACTTTACACTCCTGTTCGGGTCAGAAACGGCTTCCAGACTCTTGGAAAGGTGGCCAAAAGTTTTCAAGTCAAAGATTATCAAGCTAGCAGGAACCTTGACATCCACTCCACTGCTGAAAAGATTGCTTTAATCTGCCAAACAGAACAAAGAAAGCAGTGAGGCAGAGGATTTCCCAGGTACAGATGTAACTGATGTAATGGTGCAGTGAAAATCTTTTGAATGTCATTTTACTGTCTATGTTTAACCTTTTACTTGTCTTTTTCAGAGTGGGACAGTGACATGTCATTCTTTCTTCTGCTTCTGCATTTTTTGTCGCCCCAAGTTTCTGGAAGAAAGAAAATCCAGAAGATGAGCATCTCACAGGCAATTGACCATCTGGTGGTTTTTCAAAAGGTAGGTAACTGGTGATGATACAAGGGCTGTAGACATTATACCTTCAATTAATGCATTAACTTCTCCAGTTGATAATACACTATGAGATAAGTGTAAAATGAAGTGCTTGATTTATAAAATTTTCTAAATCTAAACTGGAATTAAGCTTGTTGGCGCTTGTGTCATTTTCTGTGTCTTTTGATATTAGTGTTCAATTGAGCTAAACAGACTCAAACTATGACTGTAAGATGCACATATTGCCAGTAAAGCCGGTTCTATAATCAGTTCTAAATCTGAAAAATCAGGGTTATATGTTCTGTTTATTAAGTAACCTCTAGGGATTTCATTTCTTTGTTTTATTTGGACTTAACCTGTGAGAGCGTCAGAGATTTACAACTGATCACAGAATTGCTTCCCTGACAAAATGACACATTTAAGTCACAGCTTTTGCAATATTGCAAAATCAATTTAATGTTGACTTTGTAGTCATAATGTTAACTGATAATGCTTAATTTGCCTTTTTTTCCCCCTCAATTAGGCATGCCGGAGTATTCAGGAAGACAATCGTCAACCTTACATTCTTGCCATAGGAAGCAGCAAGGAAATCATCAGTCAGTTCTTCCTTGTGCTTGACAAAAAGCTCATCCCATGTCAAGAATCCTCTTCACTAGCGGCAATCGATGAACTGTTCAAGGTCCATTTTGTGTTCAGTATCAGTTATGATCCTCCACTTAAAGGTTTGTTCACATTTCTCCAGACCACAGTGTACAGAATTGATGTTGGCAGCACAAGTGAAAGCCCAAGGGTGAAGGAGCTCAGAGCTAAATTACTGAATGATGTTTAGATGCTACATCTGTAAATCACTGTTTGCTACAACTGTAAAATTAATTCGGCACCTTAAACTTGTTCATAGTTTGTATCCTGGCAAGAAGTTTGAGTTGGTTTGTGCTCAGGATGGTTGCTTTCTACAATTTAAAAGTTATGCAGGGTTTAAAAAACATTTAACCAGATTTCATTTTAGGGGTGTGGCATCAAGCAGTGGTAACATATCTATTCAAAATCAGCATGCTCCAAATCCTGACGAAGCACTTGTGTCTGACACAGAGCAAATGACAGATAATGATGCTCAAGTGGTTGAATGTTCTTCTCTTTCAAGGGATAGTTCAAGGGAAATGTGTGCATCCATAATTGCCAAATTGCAGGCTAATGGTGTTGCAAACAATTAAATTTTGTCTGTTATTGAAAGCATGGAGGATTTTGTTAAGGATTTCCATACTAACTTAAGGGAGAGCATTTTAAATGTTGTGCCTGTTGGTAGCACAACTAGAAGTTCAGTTGAAGAGGTTTTTAATAATTTTCATAATTCATTCTCAGATTTTAATACAGACACTAAATGGAGAAAATATTTCAGCAAGAAATGGGGAGTTGTTGAACCCACTGAAATTCACTTGGGAGTCAGATACGATTCAAGAAGAAATACGACCTCTGGAATGTATGAACAAACAACAGTTAATGACACCTTTATTTACATCCCTCTGCTCAAAACTCTGGAGTGAGTATGTAAACTGATTCAAGAACAAAGGCAAAGTGACATGTATAGAGAATTTTGTGATGGGCAGTATTACAAAAGGCATCCATTGTACTCCATCTGTAATAATGCACTTCAGATCCAAATTTACTATGATGATTTTGAAACAGCTAATCCATTAGGATCTAAACAAGGAATCCATAAACTTGGCTGTATATATTTTGTGCTTCGTAACCTACCATCACATGTAAATTCATCCTTGATGAACATACATCTAATTTCTTTATTTCATTCTGAAGATGGAAAAAAGTATGGCATGGACAAAATACTTGGCCCATTGATTGATGATGTTAAAGTTCTTGAGCAGAAGGGAATGAAGGTGTCTTTTTCTGAGGAGCCCATTTTTGGTACAATTGCTCAAATTACTGGCGATAACCTGGGTCTAAACGGTATTCTTGGTTATGTTGAATCTTTTTCTGCAAAACATTACTGCAGATTGTGCCTTACTGACAAGGTGTTAGCACAGGAAGTATTTAGCGAGGATGATCCAAGGGTGATTTTGCGTAACCGAAACCAAAATGAGAAGCATTACAAGTATCTTGCTGACAACCCTAATGAAAACTCCTGTTATGGTATTAAAAGAAATTCTATACTCAACACCTTGACTTACTTTAATGTATCTGAGAACTTTGTGCTGGACATTATGCATGATATTCTGGAGGGAGTGGCACAGTATGAAGTAAAACTGCTTTTTGAATATATGAGTTGCGATCTAATACCTTGTGATTCCATTCCTCAAAGACTGTATGCCTTCAACTATGGTTTTTGGACCGAAATAACCGCCCAACCAAGGTCAACCTTCAGCACCCAGGAAACAGTATTGGACTTAATGCAAGTCAGACATTGTGTCTCATCAGGAACATCCCTCTCATATTTGGAGATGTAGTTCCAGAGGGAGATAAGCACTGGCATTTGATGTTGCTGCTCTTGCAAATTGTTGACATTGTGTTTTCTCATTGCATTTCTGAAGGAATGATCATATTTTTGAAGCATCTGATAGTGGAGCACCATCGGTTGTTCAAAGACTTGTATCCTTCTAGAAATCTGATTCCGAAGCATCACCTTATGATTCACTACCCTGAATGCATCAGGCAAATTGGCCCATTGATTCATGCATGGACGATGAGGTACGAAGCAAAACACAGGTTTTTTAAGAAAAATTTAAAAAACTTCAAAAACCTCACCAAATCGCTTGCAAAAAAACACCAGCTGGCAATAGCCTATCACTGGGAATCCTGTACATCGAGGGGTATTGAATCTGGTCCTGTTTCAAATGAGTTGTTGTCTGATCTTGAAAAGTGTGATTTTATTTCAGAGCAACTCAACATTGATCTCTCTAGTGAAGTAACTATCACTCCTTGGGTAAAGTGTCATGGTACAGAGTATCGAAAAAATCTTGTTGTTTGCTTAGATTTGGTTGAGGATGTACCAGTCTTTGGAAAGATTGTTCAAATTTTGATCAAGGATGGAGTTTATTTTTTGGTCTCATGTATGGAATCAGAGTTTGTTGAACATCTCCATGCTTTCAGGGTTTTTGCACAAGAGCACAGCCTTGTTCTCAAAAAAACAGAACAATTGTTTTACTACAAGCCATTTGATTTGCAAATGACATATGGCAATGACAGTTCATTTTATATTGTTTTGGACTGTTACTTGTAAAGTAATTTTATTGGTGGCTTAGTGTTCCATGTTGGAATAAAATTTTGAAAGAGTAATGTAGTAAGATGTGTTTTCTTCACAGTGAATTTATTATTTTTAAATAAAAAAATTTAGAAACCTTAATATAGTTATCCATAAAAAAGTACCATTTCTTAAATAGTACTGTCAACATTTAAGTAATGTAATATTTGATTCCTATAAGCTTGAATAGATTGTGATTTATTTATTATTTATTTATTTTTGAACAGTGTTCACTCCTGAACAGTGTAGGATTTTAACTCTGTTAGAGTTTGCAACAAAGTTCCTCCTAGCTCTGTAGCAGTGTTGTTGTTATCTGCATTGGTGTTAATACTTCACTCTTATAGTGTTAATATTTTGACACTGTGTTGGTGTTAAAAGAGGCAACACTGTAGCAGTGTTGTTGTTATTATCTGCATTGGTGTTAATACTTCACTCTTATAGTGTTAATATTTTGACACTGTTTTGGTGTTAAAAGAGGCAACACTTTTGAAAGTGTTGAATTAACACTTTGCGGGTGGTTCCCATATATACACTTTTAAAGTGTTGAAATTAACTCTATTGGTGTTAATTTCCGGATTTCAAATTTACTGTGCTCATTCACCACCAGTGTGCAGCATCCACCTGGATGATGTGAAGGCAGCCATTTTGCACCAGACCACACACCAGCTGATTGGTGGAGAGGAGACAGACTGATGAAGCTAATCATGATATGGGGAGGGTTAGGAGGCCATGATGGACAGAGGCCAGTGGGCAGATTTGGCCAGGATGCCGGGGTTAAACCCCTACTCTTTTTCGAAGGACATCCTGGGGTTTTTAATGACCACAGAGAGTCAGGACCTTGGTTAAAGTCTCATCCGAAAGACGGCGCTCACTGAACAGTATAGAGTCCACATCACTATACTGGGGCATTAGGACCCACACAGACCGCAGGTTGAGCGCCCCCTGCTGACCTCACCAACATTACTTCCGGCAGCAACCTAGCTTTCCCGTGTGGTCTCCTATCCAGGTACTGACCGGGAGAGTATCCAATTTTGTTGTTGTTGTTAAAATACAGATTAAGATTATCCTGTGATTCTGATTAGAACTTTAAAAAAAAGCACCTTTATTAGAGCTTCTGACAATAATTGTATTTAATTTAGAATTATATATTTTTTTAAATCTCAGTTTGAATGAACGAATCAATGACTAAAGTTTTAATATTTTCCCCAAATTATTTAGTGATAAATACATTTTCAGTGTGTCAAAGTCAGACATCATCAAATATCAGTATCAAATAAAAATAAAAGCATTTAAATGATCAGACTATAGACAGATCTACTGTGAATATTCAATATAATAGAACTGATAAGAGGTCTCACCCAATCACGATCACCACTGCTGCTACTGCTACTGCAACAATAACTGCAATCAGTCCTTTACAACAGCCGACCTGAGATTCTGATTCTGAAAAACACAAAACATTTAAGCCAGACAAAGACAAGCTAACATTGCTTCAGAAACAACAACATATGAGTTAGAGCTGCACAACAAATCGTTTCAGCATCGATATCGCAATGTGATGGCATAATGTTTATGCTAATATTTACTAGGGGATGAGAGTTATTTTGATGGTAATTGTTGAAAGTTGACAATAACGATAACAATCAAAAGTTAAATCAGTTCATATAATTTAATGCAAATGAGGAATTACAAACCAACATCGACAAAGATTAGCATCCATCTAATATTTAATGCAAGAACAGGCCTGGTTTTGTGTCATCATAATTATTTACTATTCTACTTGTGCAAAAACAGGCCTGTTGTGCTGTTTTGGTAAGATGCATCCCAAATCGCATCCATATGCACTATTCCATGCTATTTTGTAGTAAAGGGTTTCTACTGTTTTCATCAAGTGAAATTTAAGATTTTTAAAGACCTTTTTAAGACCATTGTGAAAGAAATCTCAGACTTACTCAAGGCTAAACACTAGCCTTGAGTAATAGCCTAGTTGAAATATTTAAATAACCATTATATAAAAATGATAAATAAACCATATTAATGCAAATGAGATTGTGCTATTTTCAAAAGAGGGTGGAGCTACAAATGCCTGTGTGTCAGCATAGTGCCAGATTAAAAGATAACTTCCTATGCTGATAACGGAGAGATGGTCACTAGTGGGCGGGGCTTTCCCCCTCTGATTACACATACAAAGGGAGAATGTCAATCAAAGTGTTTCTGCAGATGTTTTTTATCAAGCGTGATTATAAAAAAAAAAAATTAATACATTTATATCATTATTAGCTGGTTATATTCACACAGTCACCACACAACTATGTTTAAACCCCTAATAAAAAAGTGATTGCTGCATAATGGTTCCCTCTTAAGTCTGACAATAAAGTACTATCAATATAGTATCTACATTCAAAAATTACATCCTTACCTTTTGGTATTTCATAATGCGTCATCACCGTTCCTAGGCTGCTCTTAATGACGCAGGTGTAATTCACACCCTTGACCTCTGAGATATCAAGTCTACTACCATTGGCTATCAGGGTGGTTTCATTGGTTACTGTAATGCCATCAATCATCCACGAGAACTGGGGGGTGTCCCACTGCATCATGTCGTGTTTTTCCAAAACACATTCCAGCACCCGTTTGGCCAACACCCTCGCAGGTTTCTCTGCACGAACATAAAGAATAAACCTGTTCAACAAGCTGATAGTCACGATAAGCATTTCTTTGAACTTAATTATAACTGAGGGCAGAGCTGGGCAGTCATGAATTATATTTAATCTGGAATGTGTAATCGGATCCCAAAAATAAAGTAATTAGAGTAAACTACTTATTACTTTAATATACACTCAAACTATTACTGTTGCTGTGTGTTCAAACTAATTATTTAACATTTGTTAAAACTACATAATCCTTGAGGCCAAGGGGCGGCACAGTGGTTCAGTGGTTAGCACTGTCACCTCACAGCAAGAAGGTCACTGGTTCCCAGCTGGGTCAGTTGGCATTTCTGTGTGGAGTTTGCATTTTCTCCCTGTGTTGGAGTGGGTTTCCTCCGGGTGCTTCAGTTTCCCCCAGCAGTCCCAGCAAATGCGCTATAGGGGAATTGATTAACTAAATTGTCTGTTGTGTGTGAATGAGAGTGTGTGTGGGTTTTTCCAGGGTTTAATTTGACCGATCACCCTCCTCATACGCTTCCCCTGGTCTTCACTGTCGTCCGCTACCCCCCACCCCCCACCAACCCCAATCATTTTCATCCACGATGACTCCCCAACAACCCCCCCGCCTCCATCATTTTCGTCCACGACGCCTCTCCCTCCTCACCTAGATCTTTTACCCCGATCTGTTCAATTAAACATTGGGTGTTTCCCAGTATTGAGTTGCATTTGGAGGACATCCTCTGCGTAAAACCTATGCTGGAATAGTCGGCGATTCATTTCAATGGGCAATCTCTGAAATAGAGACTAAGCCAAAGAAAAATGAATGAACTTGGGCCCAATTCCATTCTCTTTTTTTAACCCCTTCCCCTAGGGGTCACTCTGTCCTTGAAACAGAGTGTGACGAGGAAGGGCTTCAAAATTTACCCCTAAGAAATGAGACAGCACAACAACACCTGCACACTTCATCATGTCATGGCAAGCTCTTACTTCTATGAGATCGACAATGGCAACTGCTGTAGTTACTCCAGTTGTGTTATATTTTTGGTAATTATCTTCTTGAAATCACACATACACACTCACATTCACACACAACAGACAATTTATTTAATCAATTCTCCGATAGCACATGTGTTTGGACTGTGGGGGAAACCGGGAGCACCCAGAGGAAACCCACGCCAACACAGGGAGAACATGCAAACTCCACACAGAAATGCCAACTTGCCCAGCCGGGACTTGAAACGGCGACCTTCTTGATGTGAGGAGACAGTGCTAACCACTGAGCCAATGTGCCGCCCTCTACGAGATTAAATTAACTGACTAAAAATTGTCATGTAATTGGTGACTGATTACAGTTCATACAATGTAAAAAGTGCTGGGTACCACACAAGTCCTTCATGTTGTTCCATCACAAACGTTAACTTAATTGTTTGCAAGTTGAAGTGGATTGAACATATGTTGAATAATTAAGTTGTCCCCCCAAAAAAACTTTGATGGGTTTTTGAAAATGACCTTCTTGTAGTGTGTAACACAGCTCTAAGTGAAGTGAAATATCCAGCTAAGGCTTAAATCTGAAAGTGCGCTGTTTAAAACTATTGATTCATCTATAAAAGAGTCGACTCATAGTGCTTCAAATTAATCATCTTTGTAACCAATCTTTAGCCGTGTCGGTGCGCGTCTCTAAAAAACTTAAGCCCCGCCCATTTGTTGCATTCTCTTATCCGGGAAAATTGAAACCTCCGGCCCCGCCCACAAACACTGTAGAAAGAAAACACGGAAGAGCACTCACACTTCTCAAACGATCCGGGAAACGGACGTGGGCACGGTTCGGTTGGCATAGTGTGAATATGCCCATATACTCTGTGCTCTGACTACTTCAACAACGTTGATAAGCCATGACTTGGCATTTCTCTCTGTCTCTCGCTGAACGCAGTCGACCAATCACGACAGACTGGGTCATCAGACCATTCAGCGCAGATTAGCATTGCGCAAAGCAGCGGTTTGGGAACAAATGAATCGCTAAACGAATCATATGGGAGTCGCTGGGATAATTAGGTACAAATAAGGGCAGATTATAAATCAATGACAGTGTTTTTTTTTTACTTGAACACATATCAGCCTGTTGTTGGAGAACCAACCAAAATATGACCCTTTTTAATGCATAATAGGGGCTCTTTAAATAGTTTTAACTAATTCAAAATCATTAGTTTAAACAAACCGCAAAAGTTATTTTTGAGTGTGTGTTTAGGATGGATAATGTACTATTTTGACAGATACAAAGAAAAAATATATTAATTTAATATTAAGAGCTTAAACAGTTTGACCTCGTAATCTAGATTACATTTACAAGTTATCCAAAGAAAGCTCATTTCATTTAGGTTCATTTTAAATAAGTGATCGACCCAGCTCTGGGTGAGCGTGCAAAGATATTCAAAAGAGCAACGGCACAGGTCTTTCATTGAACAACATTTGCATAGTCTGAAACCACATTTACCTATCTTCCGGACTTCTATGGTGTCATACTGCTGATATCCATTGCTGTCAGTAACTGTGACTTTATAGACACCAAAGTCTTCCTCAGAGACATTAGTGATCCGCAGAAGCGCATCTCCTTTCTCCAGAGATATTCGGCCTCCTTGAGTCCCGGATAGTCTGACGTTTACACCTTTGCTTTCACGATCCCAAGTCACCATGTCAATCTTGTCGTCTGGACCTTTCTCAAATACGGCCTCCAAAACAAGAGTTTGCCCAAGAGCAACATTGAGAAGTTGTCCAGTCTTAAAGTGTATCGATATTGCTCCATCAAGAAACACAGGCACTGATGATGGTTAAAAAAAAATGAGTAAGTTATAATTATTATGTTGGATGACATGAAGAGTTAGCATGTGAGTACAGCATTTACATTTTTATCAATGAAGATTCAAACATTTTCATAATTTTTAATGAAATGCACATGCAATAACTGCACAAGATGAAGCTTATCAAAGAATTAGTAGGTTATTATTAATATGTTAGCTGACATGAGGAGTTAGCATGCGAGTACAGTCATTATATACAAACAGTTTTACATTTTCATCATTTTAAAATGAAAGATGCATGCAATAACTGCAAATGATAAAAAAATGCATGCATGCATGCATGTAATAAATGTCCTAAAAGTGCAATAATGCTGTCCTATTTCCCATGATCTCAAAATAATTTAAAAATTAGTTTTATCCTTACAATAAACTCAGAAATAAGAGAAAACAGAGAAAACAAGTATCTTTAAAAAATTATTCAGCAGCATTTTTTATATTTTCTTATTTTCTACACTGAGAGAATTTCTATTTTTTTAAGTATTTTCAATCATATATTTGATCACTAAGTCAAGGATTGGCAAAAACAATGCAGATTTATAAAATGTAATATAAGTTCATAAGTAGCAATAAGTGTTTTTTTGTAAAGTGTTAACTTTTTGTTAAGTGTAAAAATTTTGTTAGTCATTGTTTATTTTCCTTTGGTTTTTTCAGTACTGTGAAAGTTTTCATATTTGTAAAGTATTTTCAATAATCACAGGTTTATAGAAATACATTCGAGTTGGTGAATATATTGCAAACTTGTAAATTGTTATGTAATATAAATTAATAATTCACTTTGAAAAATGTAATCTAATATTTAATAAGCTTTTTAAAATTATTTTCTTTTACTTTGACATTTTCTGTACTGATACAACTCCTATTTTTAAAAGTATTTTAAATGATCACAGAATGGTTTATAAATGCATTCGATCACTGAGTCGAAGATTGGAGAAAATTATGTAAACTTATGTAGTTATATATTATATACTCATAAGACATTTTGGGAAATGCATTCTAATATTTAACTACAGTATCTGCACACTGTAAAAAAAGTTAACTCAAATTAAAATTGTAAGGAAACCTGCTGCACAGCTTTTTTGAACTGACTCAACTTTTAACCCAAGTACTTGACTTGATTTAAGATGATTCAACAAAAAAAAAGTGCTGCAGCAAGTTGCCTTACAATTTGACATTTTTAAGTGAATACAGTGTATTTATTTATTTAATTTTGATATATTTTCTGTATCCAGATCACTTCTCTATTTTATTTCAAGGTGCCACAGACATATCACCCTGCATCCCAAGAGCAGTTACTCACTGTAGCTAAGCAGGGCTATCCTGGTCAATACCTGGATGGGAGACCACATTGGAAAACTAGGCTGCTGTTGGAAGTAGAGGCCAGCAGGGGGCGCTCAACCTGTGCTATGTGTGAGTCCTAATGCCCCAGTAAAGTGAAGGGTACACTACACTGTCAGCGGGCACCGTCTTTCGGATGAGACGTTAAACTGAGATCCTGACTCTCTGTGGTCATTAAAAACCCCATGGCACTTCTCGTAAAGAAGATTGATTGTTCCATCAACCGATCCCTTACCCATCATGGCCTACCAATCATCCCCATCTACCGAGTTGGCTCTATCACTGTCTTTCCCCTCCACTAATAGCATTGTCCCATGGCTGCCGTCACAAGATGCAAGTGGATGCTGCACATTGGTGGTGGAGTGGGGAGGACATCAGTCAAATTTGGTGAAGGAAAAATCATGGTTTGGGGTCAAAAGCATGCGCGAGAGATCTGCAACATCAACAGCCTGAGGTATCAAGACATTTGTGCTGCCTATGCAGTCCTCAGAGTGTACATAATACAAATTTGTGTTGTTACTACATTTCTGTATCTCTAAAATAAGAACAACAGATGTTCAGACTATGTTTTGGCTGACAAGATCTTGTCCGTAAATCAATCGGTAGTAAAACATTGATCCCATTTATTACTGCATTATTATTACTTTGAAATTAGTGCTTAAACAGAAGCATCTTAACGTGGTTTTGAGGATGATTTAGTCACTCCAAGGGCCTGCATATAATATAAGCCTAATAATAGTAACAAGCTGATATGTTCAAACTTCATAATCCCGTTTGAAAATATTAATTATATAATAATAAATACCCATAATAATAATAAATAATAATAAAACACTAAATGCTTTACACATAGCATTTAATCTGGATCGTTTGATTTTATATTTTTTCTACATCGCTACAATGCCCAAATGCATACAGTTTTATGTTTTGCTGCTAAAAATGCATTTGATGAAACTAGACTAGCTATTTGTTTTTTATTCAGTTCAATTTGTGTTTAGTTATATAACAATGTAGATTCTCTGGAAAGTAGAGTCTCTAACGTCAGCTGGTAAAGTAGGTTTCAGATTTTCCCCTGAATAACATTAAACTCACTCAGAATAACTGCGGCAGACAGAGTCCAGACCAGCATCAGTGAGCCCATCACCTGCCAAAATTACAGATAACAGATTAGAAAAGATGCCTTCTAATTAACTCGCTAACTAAAAACACACGGTCAAATAATAGCCTACTGACTGCTACTTCGATAACTTAGGATACAATAATGGCCATATTGTTCAAATAAACCATTTTACCTCGAGTCCAGAAGTTTAAACTCACTGTTTACCGACTTTCGCTACTATTAGCCTGAGCGACATCGGCAAAACAAACACGAGATGTTTCCGTCGTTCAGCAGGTAGTTAAACTATACTGAACCCCGGAAGGGACGTAGTACAGGTACCTGTCATCTGTGCCACCGCCCAGGGTGGAGTCTTAATTTGAGGTAAAGTCTAACGTTAGATGGAATACAAGATACGCACATCAACATCATTTTTGTGACACTGACACTTAATTAATATATATATATTTTTTACAGTACTATGACGGTTGGGGCAGGGGCGTTAAAAATACAATTTAATAAAAAAATAAAAAAAACGACAAATAATAATCGGTACAACTACTGTTTTTACATTACTGTGACGGTTAGATTTAGGGTTGGGGTGAGGGTAGACATTAATAAAAATACAATTAATGTGAAATTTAATAAAAAAATAGAAATAATGATCTTCAACTTCCAGCAGCAACTGTATCTGATCTAGCAGTAACCAAAATGGGGCCCTCAGATAAGCGAAAGAAAACATTTCTACAAAAATTAATTCAAATTTTGTATTAATATAACAAAATTTCAAATGTTAAAAAAGATATATATATTTTTTTTCCAAGAACAATGGAATTATTAATTAAATAAGCTGTATAACAAACGTATAAAAAAGAAATAAGGGGGAAAGAAAACAAAAGAGCAAATGAAAAGGAAATAAATATTAATGCATATTAAAGCACAAATTACATTTTAAGCATCACTCATGTTAGGCAAGAGAGCTGTGGTAGGCTAATGGTATTTACTATTCCAGTTCTTGTTCGAAAACATTTAGAATATTTACATTTATGGATGTATAACTTTGCAACAATTAACATGAGGTTTATACAAAAATTTGCATAATATTTAATATTACCGTTGTATTTTTTTTATACAGCAACCCGGACTTTTATTTTGCGTTGAGGTGAGACTTGAGGACCCGAGGCGTCGTCTACTGACAGGTAAAACCAGTCTGGCTAAAATAAAAAGCGTGTAGTGAAACCAAACGCGGATATACTGTATAAATGACAGGAAAATGAAAACCAGGAGAAAACCGCATAGTGAGTGCATATAACATCTTTAACTTCACATTTTAAATCTGTAATGACCGTATAAGCTCTATCGTTGTTTTAACACTGAACTGTCGCTAATACAGTCTATGAGACAGTGATTGATGCCAGTATCGTTTATGTTGACAGAGAATGTCTCTTATCATGAATTATAAGCTGTAATATGTGGTAAAGTGAAGCATCTGGAAACTAATTTTGTTTTTGCTCAGGCCCTCCAGACTGACATGAACGCACTTCTTCATCCTTTTGTAGTTTTGTCTTTGACAAGTAAGTTTCCCAAACTTAATGTGATTTTGCTGAAGACGCACAAGCGAATGTATTGTGGAAAAAGTTGGTTTTATAGTCACACATTCATTCAGTGATAACATGTGACATGCTCCCTGTCTTGTTTTGGTGCTTTGTATATTTGGTCTGAAATCACATCTGAGTATGACTTCAAACCAACATAAGCACTATGTATTTGACTGAACAATGTTGTACTTTGATGGTCATCGCCTGCTAATATGGTTTCATTATTTAGAGTTTGCAAATAATATAATAATAAATATAATTAATGTAATTATATTATAAAAAATAATTTAGTGACATTATATTACTAAGGAAAGAGTGTGAATATAAAAACAACTTTACCTCAGTAGTGCATCTAATAGTAAATTATGCAACAAAAGTATTTGGGGAGCACTTTACAGCTCAGATTCAGTTTATAGTCAGATTTTAATGACATCTATGTGGAGTTCATACCTAAATAAACATATTGTACATTAGGAAAAATCTGATATTGCA